TGTGGCAGAAGGATCGCCGGAGCCCAGCAGGTAGAGGTTGCGGTGGCCGGGAGCGGCCACTGCACTCCAGTCTGGGCAACAGAGTGAGACTCCAACTCAAAAAAAAAAAAAAGAAAATGCAGAGATTTAAAAAATGGGGCTTTTCTCTCAAAGTTCAGAGTCAAGTGGAAAGACAACTCTAGTTAGCAGTTAGTGACAGTGTGAAGAACAGGTGAGGCTGAAGCGCTGTGGATTTCAGCCTGAGGAACCATGAAAGAGTGCTGGAGGAAGTAGTCCCACTGCTGGGTCTTGAAGGCGACCTTTGAGTTAACAGACCTTAGCCCAAGTAAATAACAGAATAAAAGGACCCCTGGCAAGAAGATGAGCATACCCTAAAGAGCCTAGCAGGTTCATGGGTTACAAGCATTCTGGTGGAGTGTGAGTGAAGGAATGTTGGCATGTGGCTGGGGAGGTAAGCTGTGCTCAGATCTTAGGGAGTCTGGCCAGGCATGGTGGCTTACACCTACAATCCTAACACTTGAGGAGGTCAAGGCAGGAGGATCATTTGAACCCAGGAGTTCGAGACCAGCCAGGGCAACATAGTGAGAGCCTGTCTCTACAAAACAACAACAACACAGATCTTATGGATCCTGGGTGTCAAATTGAGGAGAGAGGTGTTGAGAAAACACCTACCATGGATGGATGCAAGAATGGGTAGACAGATAGATGGTCAGAGATGAATGGGGGCAGATGGACAAAAGAATGAATGGATGATTGGGTAGATGGACATAGATGGGGAAATGACTGAAGAGACAGATGGATAGGTCAATGGAAGGATGGGTGGAAGTATGGGTAGATGAATCGAGACATATGAGTGTATAAATGGAAGTACTGAAGCATGAATGCATAGAGAGAAGTATCCAAGTAGGTGAATGTGTGGGTGAATTCATGGGTGAATGTATAGAAGAATGAATAGATTCAAGAATGGACAGATAAACGTATGAATAAATGGTTACATGAATTATTGTTTAGAGATGGATGAATGGCTCAAACCAGGTGACACGGGACCAAAGTGAGGCCCAAACTCTCCCTGTACAATGACCAGTTGTATACCCAACCCTGAATTGTACCCCACATCTTTAAAATTAAAATTAAATAAACATTAGCAACAAGAACAACAAAAAAAGAGAGAGATGGAAGAATGGATAAACAGGTATCTGAACAAAGAGATGAATGGATGAAAAGATGGAGAGATAGACATGGAAAGACAGATGGATAAATAGGCAGATGGACAGACAGATGCATGAATAGATGTGTGTGGGTAGGGCTAGGAGGTGGATTAAAGGGGTGCCTAGATAGAGGGATGAGAGGTTAGTAGACCAGGGAGATGGAAAGTTAGGGTGGATTGAGGGTTGCAAGATGAATACACAGTTAGAGGGCTCCATGGAGGCCACTGCAGACTCACTTCTCTCCCACTTCAAGCCCCACCTACCTTCAAAGTCCACTCGTCCATCCCCATTGAGGTCTACATCTCGGATAATTTCCTCTATGTCTCGGTGTCCCACCTGATGGCCCAGGAGCTTCCTCATGGCCTCTCGCAACTCACTGGTACTTATCTCCCCATCACCATTGGTGTCAAACTAGAGACGGGAAGGAGGGAAAGATCGTTCTGATATGGAACCCAAGGTTGAGCAGTAGATTCCAAGGCTGAGCTCCAGAGTCATTGGGCCCCCCTTCACCAGAGACCCTTTTCTGTCCAAGCTCCCCAGCTCTGGGACTTGGAGCTAAGGCCTCTTTTCTTTCTTTCTTTTTTTTTTTGAGTTGGAGTCTCACTCAATCGCCTAGGCTGGAGTGCAGTGGCATGCTCACAGCCACCACAGCCTTGACAGGTTGAGCTCAGGCAATTCTTCTACCTCAGCCTTCCAAGTAACTGGAACCACAGGCACATGCCACTGTGCTGACTAATTTTTCTTGATTTATTGTAGAGATGAGATCTCACCATGGCGCCCAGACTGGTCCCAAACCCATAGGCTCAGGCAATCCTCTCACCTCGGCCTCCCAAAGTGCTGGGATTATAGGCGTGAGCCACCGTGCCTGGCCTGTCTCTTTTCAAGTAGCCATCCTGGAGGTGTGATTCCAACAGCCTACCCACCCTCTGCCTGCCATTGCCTGCTACCTCTCGGAAAGCATCTCGCAGTTCCTTTACTCCAATCATATCTGCTGTCTCTGCCAGGAGTTTAGGCCCCATTAGTTCCACGAAGTCATCGAAATCCACATGGCCACCCACTAGAGAAAGAAGAGAGAGCAAGGTCACCCTTGAGCCACTCATTCCCCATCTCCAACTAGGGAACTGATAGAACTGCCAACCCCTCCCTTATCTGCTAACCAGACAGAGACAAACATAATAATAGCAGGCCTCTGTTCAATTCTTACTGGGAGCCAGGTATTAGGCTGTTTTACACATATGCCTTCATTTACTTCCTGTGCGTCACTCCCACATTACATCCCTCGTTTTACAGGTGAGGAAACTGAGGCTCGGAGGTTTCCCCCAGGTCACAGAGCAGGTTTGCCCCAAACCAGAGCTGGAAAGAAGTGGACACAGGATGCAAACCCAGGCCTTTCTGACTGCAGAAGGTTGCCAGGGCGAGAACCAGAAGGGACAGAGGTGCCCAGAAGAGGGACTCACGGTTCATGTTGATCTGCTGGGACAGCTCAATGAGTTCCATCTCAGTGGGCATGTAGCCCATGGTGCGCATGCAGTTGCCCAGGTCCCGGCAGTTGATGTAGCCATCTTTGTCCTTGTCAAATTCTCTGAAGGCCTCTCGTAGCTCTGGGAAGCAAACAAAAGTGGATGTGGTTGGGGGCAGGACCGGCAGAGCCTCTGTGAGCAAAGGCAATCCAAGGCCCCACCAGCTCGAAGAGATGAAACCTGGCGCTTCCCAAGACTCTGGGGTATTTATTTCTCTTGCCTCCTGATCACGCCGCCAGTGGCTGACTTCACAGAAGAGGCCCTGCTCTGTCCCAGGTCCTGTTCCCAGGAGGCCTCTCTTCCCACCAACCTCCCTTTCACCTTCCTGGAAGGCCGAGTAGCCCTTTACTCCAAGGGGCCAAATTTTACCTTCAATCTCCTCTGGTCGCAGCGATCTGTCCTGAAACAAAAAAACGTGTCCTATTAGCAGCAGCAAGGGACAGACAAAATGTCCAACTTGGGAGCCATTCAAGTGGCAGCTGGTGCTGGGTGAGACTTGCTGGGGACAAGGCAGAGGCGTGTGTCTGGATCATGTCCTTGAGGGGAAAATGTGCAGCCCCACTCACTTCTACAGACATGGAAGCTCTTGGGACGTTGACAGATGAGATGCCCAAGGACACAACAGCCCCAGTGGCCTGGGCACAGAACCTCTGTGCTCCAACCCCTTAGTTCAGACACAAGAATGGGTCAGGGCATGGAGCTGGTCAGGAGGCAAAAACCTGCAAATAAAACAGGGTCAGGGAGGTCACAGAGAGAAGAGAGAAGAGCGTACCACCCAATGAAACCAGGAAGAGCTGGGGAGCAGAGTCCTGCAAGGAAGTGGGGCGAAGAGGGTCAGATGTAAGAGAAGCAGGGACTAGACAGGCAGCCCAAGGAGAAGGAGAATGGGGGGGAGAAGAGGGATGTGGAGGCAGAATTGGGGCTGTGCCCTGCTTCCTGGGCACTGCCCCACTTTCTCCAATGTGACCCCCATCCCCATACCTTGCCCCGTCACAGAACACAGCATGGGACCCTGGCAGCTGCCAGTGCCTCTGGTGGCTGCCAGGGTCCAAAGCACACATCTCCAGCCTCAAGCAGTGCCCAGGTCTCCTCAGGGAGTCAAAGAAACCCTGAGTCTGGGCATCAGAACAGATGGCAGAGAAGTCTCCAAAGAGCAGGCCCAGAGGAAGCTCTGGTTGGTGAAGTGCCAGGTGCGCTGGGCCTGCCCAAGAGGGAGACAGACTGGCATGAAACAGATACGGATGTCCAGGTGGACCTGGTGAGTAGACTCCAAAAGTGGTCCACAGGGCCCATCCTCCCCAAGTGTCACAGGTCTCTGCCCTTGGAAAGGGAGGACATGAGGGAGGTGTGCCCATCCTGAGGAGGCTCACCCAGGTATGGGTACACCTCTCATGAACACAGACGTGCAGGCATGCCACGGTGAGCGTGAAACATCTCAGCTGTGCACACAGGCTGTTCCAGCCAACAGGGCCAGGGCAGGAAGAGATGGCCACTCCAAACTGGCCCCAGCACAAGGGATATCACACCAGAAAATCTGAAGCTCATCATCTCAGCAGTATCTTGTGGGACCACCAGGTGCACAGGACCCAGAGCTCAGAGGTGGCTATGCGTGGCAGGACAGCATGGAGGGTGTATGTTAGCTTGCACTGGGCAGGTTGCAAGCTCACAGGTCTTCCAGGTGGCATTTCTAGCTGAGGGTAAGAGTCACCTGAAGGGAGACGTGTCTCTGTGAGATGACTGCATGACTTTCAGTTAAAATGCACATGGCACAAGGATGGGTCACTTCCATTCCAAGACAGACCCATGTGTTCCTAGATGTTGGATTATCAAGAAGGATGCTTTGTGCAAGGAGTTGTACTATCAGTGAGAGTAAGTGTGCAAGTGCCTGCATCTACATATACATGCAGAGCACACTCACTACGACCAGCTACTGAGATATAACAAGTCTTTTCCCACCAATCAGGCCTCCAGTGGCCTTGTGCTTCTCCAGGGCCCAGTTCTACAGGCCTGGGGAGGAACTGGTCCTACTGACCCCCACGGCAGTCCCTTCCAGTCTTCTTATTACATCCAAAGCCCAGGGAGCAGCAAAGCCAGGCACCCCTTGATGGAATGCCTGTGGCTGGAGCTGGTCTGCTGAGCCTTTGTGGCTGGTCCTTCAGGTATGTGTGTGTCCTATGCTCCGGAGTGGAGCCAGGGATGCCTAGTGATGTGGAAGGAAGCCGTGAATAGCAGCTTGGGGTCAAGTGGAAATGAAACGTGTGAACGCTATTTTCTCCCTGATGTATGTGGTTGGGGAGAAGCACATGGGCCTTAGAGTCAGACAAGACTGAGTGCAAAGCCTAGATCCACTACTTCCTAGCAGTGGGGCCTTGGGCAGGTCACTACTGCTCTTGAGCCACTTTTTCCTCCACATCTGTAAAATGTGTCAATACTGGTACCTACCTCACATTATGCACATTCTGTACATTCTGTGAAACAAGCATGTGGCATTCAATAAATGGAACCTATAAGTGCTTGTATCTGTAGCATTATCGTTATCCTCTTCCCTGTGACTATTCAGATACTTGCAAGAGGCTGTCCCATACGGTAGCTACTAGCTACATGTGGCTACATAAATTTGAGTTAGAATGAAATAAATTAATAATTCAGTTCCTTAGCTGCACTAGCCACGTCCCAAGTGGTCAATAGCCACACATGGCTAGTGGCTACTGTGTGGGACAGAACAGAGTGTAGAACATTTCCACCAGCGATGAAAGTTCTACCTGATAGGCTGCATATACAGAATCATTGTTAAGAGCACAGGAGGCTCGTGAGTTGGATTATCCAAGTTTGAATCCTATCTCTACCACTGACTAGCTGTTACCTTGAGCCTGTTACCTCTCCACATAGTTTCCTCATCTGCAGACTGGGGGTGATAAAAGTACCTACCTCTTGGAGTTATTCTGAGGTTTAAATGATGCAGTCCACCAAGATATCAGGCACAGGGCCTGGCACCTAGGAAGCATCCCAAAACAACTCATCATACCTCTTGCTGGTGGACGTAAACTCACCAGCACCTTGTAGCCATGAGTAGAAAACGTTGGGGATCACATCCACATGTTGGGGTACAGGGGCTGCTGTGTACAGACCCCTCCATCTTCCCAGCACCTCCTCATGCCCTGTGAAGCCAAGTTCGGCAGGCTCCACTGGGCCAACTTACGTACAGGCTGCCAGTTTTCAGCGAAGCCCTTGCGCAGGAAAATGCAGGCAGGGCCCAGCAAGTTGTGCATGACAGCGCAGTTCTGGGCCAGCATCAGGAGCGGTCCGGGGAGCTCAGCGTCAGCTGCCAGCCCCTCCTCGCTTGTCTGCACCACCATGTAGCTGGTCTGCTCCTCCTGGCGCATCTTCAGCCAGCACCAAGCAAATACAAAAGAGAGGCAGGGTGTCACCTCCCTGCCCATCCTGGCTTCTGGTCCCAGGAGAGGCTCTCCTCAGGAGAAGAGAGAGTCAAGTAGCAGGGTTCAGAAAGCCCTCAGCATGCACAAGGGTGGGCATCCAGTTGGTCCAACAGATGATGTCTCCAATCCTTGATGGAATCAATTGTTCCAGTAAGAGCTGGATGTGATACCCATCATGTGGCACATGCACACATGTGCGCACACACCCACACGTACATGCGCACTGAGTCACACACTCATGTGCATGCAGAAGAGATCAGAGCAGAGAGAGGTAAGGAGGAAGGTTTTTGTTTTAGCCAATGGGAAGGGGGCACCCAGAGCCCAATGGAACAACATCTTTTCCCATAATGCCCTTAGCATCCCAGCTCAACCAATCTCCAGGGCTAAGTCCTTTCTTCCAGCCCCCAAACCAACTCTGCCCTGCTCCAGCCAGATCCCCACTGGAAGCAATCAGAGCTGGCAACATGGAGAACAGACTCGGCTGATCTGCCAGATTGGAGGTTGCAGATACAGGTGCCAAAGTCGACAAATGAAGCAGGCAGGATGTGAGAGGTGGGGACATAAAAAGTGTAGACCATTCCCCCTCTGAAGGGGCAGCACTACTTAACTCCGGCCCAGTATGGCCAGACCTTCCCATTTAAAGCTGTAGGTGGGCCAGACAAGACACGTCTGTGCATCACATCCCACTCAGTTTGTGATCTCATGACAGACACTCCTGGCCATCCAGCAGTTCTCCTTTTCCTCCCTCCTGCCTTCCCTGGCTTCCTGCCGAGCCCAGAGTGCAGGACCTCTAGAGGCCTTCTCTGCTTACCAAATATAGCGGTGCTCCCAGGCTCTGGCCAACCCATCCTCTTCCCTGAAGGTTCCCATGGAGCTATAAAAAGTCAGCACTGCCCACAGACCTGCCCCTTAGGACTGCAACAGCATCCAGACACAACATTCAGTTCTCCCCGGACTCCCCATGATGCCCAGTGCCTCTCCAGAATCCAGGCTGGGTACTCTCTGCCTTTAACTTTGGCTTGGATGCCAAAGAGATTTGGAGAAACTTCCCAAGGAACCATGGAGTCACTGAAATCCTGAGGCCTGTCTTTGTCAAGAACCCCAGAGCTGCAAACCCTGTCCTTCCATCCTATGGCATTGTATTTCCAGCCAGCTTCCTCCAGAACAAAGAAGGACATGCCATGAGGAGATCCCAAGACCTAGGGCAGCCTGTCCTCCCAGGCTGAGCAGCAGAACAACCCTCTGCTCCATCTCGTCCTCTCCTGCTTCTTTCCCTGGAAGCCCCATACTGTGGGACTATAGATGGAGATTCCCTTCCATCTTCCTAAGCCCCTTCCAGGTCTAAAGGGGGAGGCGTAATTTCTGGTTCTGCAAAGGGGAAGCAGAAACTCAGATATGAGGTGAAGGAACTCAGCCCAAGGCTCAAGTGTGATAAGTACAATAAAAGTCAGTTTTAGGTACTCTCAGATGTCAGACCCACAAAGGGCCCATTCTGGTTTGATGCCCCAAAGAGGTAAGATTCGGAGCCTCAGCTGCTCTCAGTCAGACTTCCAGGATCTCAGCTGGAGCTAAGGCAGAACAAGAGTGATCTTTCGCATTTGGGAGGGTGGATCAAAGGAAACCTTGGAGTAGACAGTGGTCTAACCCCAGGAACAATCTCAGGAGCTGTCTGTAGAGAGCCAGCCTTTTAGTTTCTGGCTGAATCTTGTGCAATTCACTCGGAGAAAGCACAACACAGGAAGGAGGGGAGGCAGCAGGTGCCACCGAACTCTGAGAGGCAGTTTAGCATGCTGGTTGTGGACTCAGACAGTCTTAGGGACAAATTCTGGCTCTGCCATTGGCTTGCTGCATGACCCTGGACAAGTCACTCCACCCCTCTATGCTTCAGTTTCCTTCTTTGTACAATGGGGATGATCACGACTACTCACAGGATTCCTGTGAGAAGTAAATGCACATAAAGTGCTTTGCACAGTGCTCAGAGCACGAGAAGAGTCAAAGAGAGTTGCCATAATGATAATAATGATGATGATGGTGATGGTGGTGGTGGTGATGCAACTTAAGAGCGGCTGGGTACCAGAAGGCATTTACTTCTGACTGCAGAGGAAGTGGGGGAACATCTGCCAATCAGGAAAGAAATGAGAAGGATGGGGAGGAATTTGCTCCCATGAAGAACGAAGCAGTGGTAGCTGGGGAATTTCCACTGTATCTCTTGATCATAACACTGCCTGGCACCAAGTTCCCCAGAGGCTGCAGCTCTCCGGTCAGTGATGGCACCTGACAGCCTGGTCCTGCCCAGCTCCGAGCCTGAAGCAGGCTGCCTCCAACCATTACCAGTTTCCCGGCTACCACTTGGGAAGCCAAGTGGGCAGCGGCCCATGGACCGACAATGTCTCCTGGCACCAAGGGGATGTCTCCGAAGGGCACCATGGCAACAGGAGGGGCCAGCATGCCTCATGACCTAACAGCTTTCTAACAACAGAAGCTGGCCAAGACTACATGGGTCAAAGCTCCCTCTCACTGCAGGTACTCGAGGAGAAGATGAGTGAGGGAGCGCTTGGTGAGGGGGAGAGGTGATCGCTGCACTGAGTGGGAATTTGGACTAACTGGTCTCTGAGGTCAGGTCCAGAAATCTATGAATAACATTTCTGACAGCAGGAGAAAGAGAGAGGCGGCCTCTCATAGAGGAAAAAATACAAACAAAATACCAGGTCTGATTTCACACAGACCAGGACTTAAATCCCAGCTCTGTTTCCTGTCAACTATATGATCTTAGGAAGACTCTTATCTCTGAGTCCAGCTCCTTTCTCAATAAAACAGCCAAGAGAACTTTAGTGGGAAAGAGCAAATGAGATAACATGTTAGAAATGTTGTAAATATTCAGTAGAAAGTAATATTAGTGATAGCATTAAAAAAACATGAAATTGAATGCAACAAGTTTTGTGTTCTCTTACCTTACTCTATGGACTCAAAGCCTCTATTTTCTTTTTCTCCCCCATCCTTCTTTTCTAAAACCCAGAGTGGAAAAATGTTGATGATGACAATAATACTAACATATATTGAGTACTGTATGCCAGGCACTGTGCATGTCACTTTACTTAGGTCTCACAGTCACTTTAAGAGAGTGTCCCCAGCTGACAGACAAGGGGGCTGAGGAACAGAGAGGTTAAGTAATTTGCCCAAGGTCACATGGCTGGAAAGAGGGGACCTGAGTAGTCTGACTCTGAAGCACTTGGCTGTGTAAGAAAGATGGGTAGGACAGAAGGATAATTCTTGTCCTTACATTTATCTCTTCAAGCACTGGGCAGAACCTATTACAAGGGCTTTTGTCCTGTGGTTCTCTAGACTAATTCAAATCCATTTCTGCTTCTCTGAAACAGCGCGGAGGCCACTTGCGATGCAGAAGACTCCCCTAAGAAGATAACAGATTATGGGGGGGTGTGCACAGAGGAAACACTCACCCCCAAAGGATCTAAGGAACAGTAACGATTAAAAGGAATTTGATGTGAGCAGCTTAGCCAAATGAGGAAGACGACAAGCAGAAAAACCCAAAATGTCCTAAATTGAGAGGCTGTCAAACTGACAGAGGAGGTGGAATGGGACTAGGGAGAGGCACCAGCAGTTAACCTGAGACCTGAGGAAAGTCCTTTAGCCCCTGTGAATGGCAATCAAGTTCCTTGTCTGGAAATTGGAAGAATTGGAGGAAAACATTCCCCTCATCCCTTCTTCCTTTAAATAATATCTGTGAGTCTATTCTACGGCCTGAATACTGAGGACTGAAAAAACAGACACAGCCCACCTGAAGCAAAACCCTATAGATAGATGCAAGCCCAGCCTTGTGTGAAAGATGCTTTAGAGGTGATTATTTGCTTCCCCAAAGGAACTCTTGTTTTAAAAAATTATACCAGTGAATAAGCAATACATTCACTAGAGAAAGTGACTGCTATAAATTTCTGCTCAACGTATGTCCTGGGCATACGTTTTTGATGGAAACAATCCTGGGCTCTGAACCAGTCTGGCCCAACTTGAGATTCTCTGACTTAACTCATGAAGGAATGGGGGCAGAAGGGGATACCTTGTCTGGTTCCTTTCAATAGCAATGGCATCGACTTCAAACCCCACAATTTTAAAGGTTTAGAGAGCACCAGAGAGGGTCACAGACCATCAAAGGATATGAATCAGCCCTCAGTCCTGCTATAGATCCTTATCTATCAGTTTCAAGGGAGTCTGTCCACTGACATCCTAAAAAGCCACACTTTCATTTTACAGACCAGAAGCCCCAAAGCTCGTGGTTTCTCTCCTAAAATTCCCACCCCCAACCCCATGCCCAAAGCCTAGGATGCAGAAAACTGATAAGAGGGTGTCTGCGGGTAGGAATGGGGAAGCAGCTCTGGACAGAACCTATGGGAAGGGTAGCAAGTTTCAGAAGCCCACCCCTTCTGTGCCCACTCTCTGGGACAGATGGAGAGAGACCCCAGTCCCCAGCCCCAGATCCTGGAAACTCCAGAAACATACCTTCCTTGAAAGATTTCTCAGTGGAGACTTGACACAGTTGCCCATCCTAAGTTGAGGCAGCCCTGCTCGGGATCCCGGGTCCATGAAGGAGGCTCCTTGGGGGCTGAGGACCTTCGTCCCAGTCTCTGCCAACCCCAGCCTCCCTCTGTCTGTGCTGCTCTTCCTCCAGGACCGAAGTGAGCCCTCTCTTTCGCGCGTGCTCTCTTACTGTCTGCCTGCTTTCTGATTTTTTTTTTTTTTTTTTTTGTGATTGTGTGTGTGTTTGTGTGTGTGGGTTTAACTTTCTGGGCACTTTCTTAAGATGAAAGCAGAAGGGAAGAGTGCAGGGCACAGAGAAAATCGCCCAGAGAGCTAATGGCAGAGGGCAGCCAAGCAGGAGAAGGCTGCTGGATCATCTACATCAGATTAGAGCTGAGTCCTCTCTCTCTGGTTCTCTCCCCTTCCCTCGGCCCCTCCTTTCTGGCTGCAAAATCTGCAGGGAGATTGCCTCAGGGAGGCAGCCCAGAATGGCAGCTGCAGCTGGGAATTAGGCCAGCAGATCCAGAAGGGGAAGCTAGCTAGTTTGGGTCCCCAAAGCCAGGGTGCCTGCCTCATAGCTCCCAGTCTTGTGTGTGCATACACACACACACACACATACACATACACGCACACACACGCATACATGCACAAGCACCCACGGAGATTGACGCGGCTTCCAAAGAGCAGTGAGCTGGACAAGCACACATCCTCATTGCCTGCCCCCTGGCAATTCCAGCTGCGGCTCCAGTTGAGGGCCTGGGAAGTCTTGTGACGCCTCCATCACGCTCCATTTTTCACACTAGCTCTCATCACCGAAATGGGCCTAGGCCCCGGGGCCCAGCAGTGCAGCTGAGCCCACAGCCAGACCAGATCCTCCTGTTGCCTTCGCTGTATGCGATCTCTCCAACCCAAAGGAAGCCAAGAGATGGCCCTGAAAGGGATATGACGGAGGCAGCACAGGCACAAAAGGCAAAAGCAAGGTCCAGGAACCTTCTCGTCATCCTTGGCCTCATCCTGAGCCCCTTTCACTGGCTTCCTTGGGGTGTCCAGCAAAGGAGTCCTTGATGAAGCGGTCTTCAGGTTCCCACAGCTGGAACTTTTCAGGTGACTGGCTCTTCCTCCTCCCTCCAGGGTCCGGCTTTGGCGTGAATTCATCTCATGTCTCAGATGTCCCATCGGAGACCTGCAGCCTGAGCCAGATGCCCTGAAAGGAAGTGTCCCTGAAGCCAGCTTTTCCCAGCAGGGGGCACCAGAGATAGACTGGCGAGCAGAACTCCCAGGGCCCTGGTGCAGCCGGCTCTTACACACAAGGCTTTTCAGTTGGAGAGGCTCCTTTCCCAGGGACTTTTGTCCAGTTCCAAGTGGCCGCTCAGAACTCCCAATAGGGAAGACGGGTGCAGATGCCACCCAGAGGGCGCTACAGGCTCACTCCTAGAGAGCCGGGAAGGAGGTCCCTGGAGAGTTCACAGAGACCCTGGTGCTGCTGATGACAACCATGCGATGTTCTAATCAAGGGAGTTCCTTGGCAACCTTGTTTGGGCCAAACCTCTGGAGGGGGAGAAGAAGAAGGAAAGGCCACCCCCTGGGGACAAGGGGAGGAGTCTGAGGCATGGGGTGTGGACACTTAAAGAACAGGAAAGAGGGTGAAGACACCAGGGAGCTGGAACGGGAAGAGGGAGCCGGCAACATAAATGCCTTCTTCAAAGACACGTCTCACGGAAATAGAGTGAAGGAAGCACTCTGCAGGCCTGGGCAGGGGTCAGGGTCAGTGGATTCCGACAATGGGAAGGATGGGGAGGCCTGGGGTTGAATCTTAGCTCCACCAGTTTCTGACTGGGTGGCCACCTCTCATTCCTGGGTTTCATTTCCACCACTGGAAAATGAGGTTTCCTCTACCTTACTTTTTTTTTTTTTTTTTTGAGTCAGAGTCTCACGCTGTCACCCAGGCTAGAGGGCAGTGGCATGATCACGGTTCAACGCAGCCTCAATCTTCTGGGTCCAGCCTCCTGAGTAGCTGAGACTACAGGTGTGTACCACCATGCCTGACTAATTTTTTTTATTTTTGTAGAGACAAGGTCTAGCAATGTTGCCTAGGCTAGTCTCAAACTCCTGGCCCAAGCAATCCTCTCACCCTGGTCTCCCAAAGTGCTAGGATTACAGGTATGAGCCACCATGCCCAGCCCTCTACTTTATTTATAAAGATCACAGGGGAAAGTGTGAGGCACATAATCGGTACTAGATAAATGATTATTAACATGAGAAAAAGAAGTATCACTTGTCCAATGTATAAATGTCAGGCACTGTGCATGGCTCTGGGAATGTTGTGAGAAACAAGATAAACACAGTACTTACTTTCTGGAAGCTTATATTCTAGCAGGTGGGTAGGAGATATTAACAAGCTATGAACACAGTTATTTAATTACATGTCAGATAAATCCTATGAAGGGAAAACAAAAAAACTCTGAGAATGTGACACGGGGAATCTGTCTTAGTCTGTGGGGATCAGAAAAGATGTGCAGGCAAAATCTAGAAAGATCATATGCAGACTCTTTTGAAAAGACAGGGCTTGCTGGGCTCGGTGGCTCAGTTTGTAATCCCACGCCTTTGGGAGGCTGAGGTGAGTGGATTGCCTGAGCCCGTGGGTTTGAGACCCACCTGGGTAACTTGGTGAGACCTCATCTCTACAATAAATAAAAAATTAGCCAGGTATGGTAGCGTACGCTAGTTCCAGCTACTTGGAAGGCTGGGAAGGATCACCGGAGTCCAGCAGGTCCAGGCTGCGGTGGCCGGGAGGGGCCACTGCACTCCAGTCTAGGCGACAGAGTAAGACTCCAACTCAAAAAAAGAAAAAAGAAAAAAGAAAAAAAAAGACAGGGCTCACTAGGGTCCCCAGAGGGGAGCTTAGGTTAGGCTCCAGATACAAATGGGTGGATATATATAAAAGCAAAGGCAGCACAGTGTAAAGCAGAGGTTCACAGTGTAAAGCAGTGTAAAGTTGGCCATAGATTTGAATCCCTGGGGAGGTCCCAAGAAATTATGATTTAATAGATTTAGGCAGGCTACAGACATTTAGTGTTGTTTAGTACTCCCCAGGTAATTCTAACCTGCAGCTAGTGTTGAGAACCACTGATGTAGAGGTTAAGAGCTTGAAATGCAGAGTCAGGCTGACTTGGGTTCAAATCTTGCCCTGCTGTTTAGTAACTATGTGGTCTTGAGGACAAGTTGATCTTTCTGAGCTTCAGTTTCTTCATTTATAAAATGGAGATTCTAATAGCACCTCCCATGGGGCTCTTGTGAGGAGTTAATGAGATAATACATGCAAAAGGCTTGGCATCACGCTGAGCACACCGGCATTGGTCTTTTTTTTTTTTTTGAGTTGGAGTCTCACTCTGTCGCCCAGACTGGAGTGCAGTGGCCACTCTCAGCCATTGCAGCCTCAACCTGCTGGGCTCCGGCGATCCTTCCGCCTCAGCCTCCTGAGTAACTGGAACTACAGGCGCGCGCTATCACGCCTGGCTAATTTTTGATTTATTGTAGACATGAGGTCTTGCCAAGTTGCCCAAGCGGGTCTTGAACCCGCGAGCTCAGGCAATCCACCGGCATTGGTCTTTTTTTTTTTTTTTTGAGTTGGCGTTTCACTCTGTCGCCCAGACTGGAGTGCAGTGGCCGCTCCCGGCCACCAAGCCTCGACCTGCTGGGCTCCGGCAATCCTTCTGCCTCAGCCTTCCAAGTAGCTGGAACAACAGGTGCACGCTACCATGCCCGGCTAATTTTTTGATTTATTGTGGAGATGAGGTCTCGCCAAGTTGCCCAGGCAGGTCTTGAACCCGCGGGCTCAGGCAATTCACTCATCACAGCCTCCCAAAGGCGCGAGATTACAGGCTGAGCCACCCAGCCCGGCTGGCATTGGTCTTAAAGGGCCAGGGGTGACATCCTTTCATTCAGCAGGGCATCCACTCAGTCAGAGCTGGTGACTCCTGCCCCCTTCAGGCCAGCCCTGGGCATAGCACCCATTTGTCGACCTTAGGATATATGCCTTGGAGACAGGAGACAGAAAAATGAGGCCCCTAAAGAAAAGTCATGTACTTTAAAGAATCCCAGCCCACTTTGGGGTTAGGGGTTGACATTAGCTTGAGACTTAAGGGCATCAAGGAATCCAGGGATTCAGATGTGATGTTTCAAAGCTTATTTAAGCTACCCTGAAGGAGGCAGATGGGCAGGAGGGGAAATAACTTGACCATTGGTAGGAAATAAAAAAGGGCCAAACAAGCCGGGCTCGGTGGCTCAGCCTGTAATCCCGCACTTAGGGAGGCTGACGTGAGTGGATTGCCTGAGCCTGCGGGTTCGAGACCCACCTGGGCAACTTGGCGAGACTGCATCTCTACAATAAATAAAAAATTAGCCGGGTGTGGTAGCGCACGCCTGTAGTTCCAGCTACTTGGAAGGCTGAGGCGGAAGGATTGCCGGAACTCAGCAGGTCGAGGCTGTGGTGGCCGGGAGCGGCCACTGCACTCCAGTCTGGGTGACAGAGTGAGACTCCAACTCAAAAAAAAAAAAAAAAGGGCCAAACAGCAGGGCTTACTCTAAAGAGTGAAGCATGTTGTGTGGCTCCCTCCTCGTCCCTATCACTATGACAGCAGTCTCTGGGCCTTGGGAAGTCACACTATGAGTTCTAGAATGGAATAACAGGATCAGAGGGATGAGAAGGATAAACTCATTGCTGATTACTCCTGATTAGTAGGGAGCTGGCCTTTGGCCCTGGTCAGTTCTGTCACTAGCATTGGAATTTAGCCCAACGCTAAGACACTCGGGGAAAGCTGGGCTATAACATGAGAGGTGCTTAGCAGATGCTTCTGACAAATAGGAAATACATTCATGTGACTTCCCACCAAACCAGCATGGTATATACAGCACAGGCAGGTGTGTTTGGAGTTAGGCAGACCACAATTCTCATCACAGTTCTGTCATTTACTTATGATGTGACCTTTGGACAAGTCACTTCCTCTCTCGAGTTTTCCTCATCATGCTATGAAGATAATGACAGGATACTCTGTCTACTATTTAGTGGGCTCTAGGTTAAGATCTCAAGAACTATTGTTGTTTCCCAAATTCAGCTGGAGGCAAACACTGACATCTTGGAAGACTCACACTA